TCCGCTGGCTTCGCACGTAGAATCACGCTTTGCAGCGCAGTCTCATAGAGGTATCGTCTGAAAAGTTTTCCTTCAGACGTCTACGCTTCGGGTATCTCGCCGTCGTAAATCTCCGATATGACATTCCGAAGTCATCATAATGGCGACCGAAACTTCGACTCGGTCGTCGAGCTCCGCGTCTTCGTGTCGAATTGCTCTGACAGGTTCGTTGTCCAGTTCGCTGAAATCGCCCATAGCAGCCTTCAACGCGAGAATTGCGTCATAGTGCATTTGCTACCGAAGCCGTCCGTTTAGCCAGGTGTTATTGATTGCAGCATCTGCCCGCCATTAAGCAACAATACCGGCTACCGGCGCCTGCATTTCGAAATCGAAATTCCCGAATTAATTCCGAATTAGCCCGCTCGTTGTTGCCTGGCGAAGCCCAGAAGATTTTAAAGATGATGACGCCGGTAAGCATCTGGTGACTTCCGGCATTAAAATACCATGAAAGAATAAATAATAATAATAATAATAATAATGGTCAATATCGATGAGGGCCTAAAGGAACATATCAACCAAACGCACATTCACCGAGTTGCCACCGGGTCATTAACAGCCGTTCTGGAGCAACCGCCTTCCTCAAAGTCAAAACCAACGATTGATCACCTGCGAGCGTTAACCTCGAACGCATCATCTGTCAAACCACACTACTGTGAGCGTGAAAGCATAGGATTGCGTTGCCCGATAATGGCAAAGTCGTTAAGCCGCACAGACCAGTCAGTAATGCCATCGACGGAGCAAATGACGATTCGGCGGTTTAAAAGCAGCTGAATAGTTCGAATCAATAACCGGCGCCCGTCAAGCAGATGAAAGCAGAATGTCAGTGGCAGCAGACCGAAACCTTCTATCGGTAACAGTCGCTCGATCAAAGAAATGACCACTCTTCCTCTTCAGTTGAGATCGAACCCGTTTCATTCTGTTTACGATTCAGGAAAATCGAGTCAATAATTAAACAAACAACGAATTTTTCCAAAATGAAATCACAAATGATATTTTCATGAAACTTCATCGACCATCATTACGAAAGGACTGTTGTTCATGTCGTCTGAAATTAATAGCTCAAAGAAACATTCAATACGCGAATGGTTTAATCAAAGAAATCGGTTGGGCAAAATAACGCTCGGATACCGAAGTTAAGATCATCAGGAAGTTCAACGTCAAAACGGCAAAACATCAAAATTAAAATAATAAAGACAACAAAAGAGCGCACTCCAAATCAACGATTCCTTACGTCAAAATAGTTTGACCGAAAGAAAGAAAATGAAAAGAAAAATAAATTATCAAATCGTGTCAAACTTTTAGAATCACGAAAACGACTTCATTAGAAAATTCAAAGAACATATCACATCTTCCAATGGATCAACGAAGCGTTCGGTCTGTACCGTCGTAATCGAGGCATCATACAGATGACCGATGCACGACGAGAAGCCGCGCAGGCTTGTTCGTTATCCTCACCGATCGCCCGAAAAGAAAAGTCCGTCTATCAATACCGAAACCGGTATTGAAACTGCCCTTCGTGTCCAAACACCGATAATATCGTTTCAACACCGTGATCAATAAATTACGGTTCGCAAAGCGTCGCATCAATACTTCATGATATTCGACATCCCGTCCTCCGCTCCTTGAACACTACGTTTGAATACGTATCATCAATAGGTGTTTGACAAACCGTGTCATCTGATTGTTCCGACGATATCATTTGTTGCAGAGAGCAGAAGCGGTTAAAGAAAGGGGCGCAATGATCAACTTCTGGTACGAAAATGATTTTGAAAGAATATCATCGAGAAATTTCATGCCGGATTGACCATAAAAGCATCCACGAATGGATCTTCTGAAGTCCTTCATCATTGAATCTCCCCGAAGCGACTACTTCGATTTTACCAAGTTCGTTAACGACTCACTGAAGATTAGCAGGCGCAAGACCTCGAATTCATTCCAACAGAAGGAATATTGTAGAGGTCCTTTGTCTTCAAATCTCCTTGATATCGTAAGAGGAATATTTCCCGACCTCACACGCATCCTCAACCATCTTCCATCTCCTCCTTTAATACGGATGACATCGAACTTCCCGTCAAAGGAAGACTCAATTTGAAAGAAAGTAAATTTTCCGTTCGATATTATATTTATTTGACGACAAATGCAATAATTATCGAAACGGCAGCAGTACACGACGGATCGGTCAGGTCATCGCCGTATTATTCAGGAAACATCAGGCTCACACTCATTTGAATGCGAAGTGCTCGAGACAACAGAATGACCAGATTAACGAGCAACTGCTTCAAAGAAATCCGAGTTCGTACAAATGCCGTAACGAAGGTTCAAAGTCAATCAACACTTTTGGTGCCGTGGATTGTCCTTCCAGTCTTCGAGAAGTTGATTGAACAAAACGAAGACATTCAGAGCCTGGATCGTTCGATCAGAAGAATGCCCGATAACAGAGTCTTCGTCACCGCCTTCAACCGCTTGATATCAATCACCTCTGGACGGGTTTAATGTGAGTGCCTTCATTTATCGCAGTTTTGTTGCGTGGCTTTAACACAGCCTGATCGACGATCCTTCCGGCGATGACAGAAGACCACGATGCCAGCGAATCGTTATCGCGCCATATCGTTGACAGAATCCGAAATTCGAGTGTCGACTCCACGATTTAAGCACGCTGACGGTACAGTATTTGGAGTAAACCAGCAGTTCCACCAGAGTCGGTTCAGGAGAAGCTTTCGAGCAGTTGCCGTCGCGTGCGTTGATGCAGCGTGCCGAACAAAATACATCCCACCGACTTCCGCCCGGATATCGGCCGAATGCACCAGACCAGTCATCGCTAAAATATGAATAGTTGAACATGAAATGCCTGTAAATTTAGTTTCGCCATTAATCGTCCAAATCTGTCAGCGATAATTTTTCCCGGTTATCAAACAGTTATCTAAACGACACGATGGTAATGTCGTTTACCGGTCGTTCATGCGGTTTCGACCGAAAAGTCCATCCATACGCAAACCGGCGTCATGGAAACGATGCTTTCAACCTTCTGTGGAATAAAGTCAATAGCGTACCAGAAGAATTCGCCGCACTGTCTTGATAAAGTCAATGAATTTATTTATATCATTGAATTTTCGTCCTTGACTGGTCGTGATTACAAAGACAGCGAAAGCACGATAAATATGATCTCGCCTGAAATGTCCTCGCCTGGTATCCGCAATATCGTAAGCTCCCCGACAGCCTGGTACCTTTGTTTGCGACCTCATTGCGATCGTATGCCCGTTTTCCACCGGAAATAGCCCTTCGACACTTCGGGTACCACGCAGCGCCGTGGTTTTCCGGAAATAGCGGCCTTCGACAGTCATCGTACCCGTAGGCGCGGCCCCGAGCTGATGATGAAGTTTCCAACAAATGATCAGACGCCGAACTTTCGCCAGCATTACCTCATTCGTAAAACATGGTCAATAATAGAACACGAACGACAATGTCTTCCCAGGCGTTAATTGTTTCGTTTTTCTTCAGTCCATTCAGATACAAACACGAAAAGATATCAGCGACCGGAGTTGATTATTTAAAGTCTCCGTCCATTCATACCATCCTCCCAAGTCAATAAGACCCGGAACCGACTAATTAAAGCATAATATTTTAGCTTCCGCCTGCCACCAAATCATTCATTACGCTAACATTTTGCTAATCAATAAAACGTCATTGCATGTAAGCGCCCAGTTGCAACAGTATCGTCATTGAATGGCGCTGTTCACCGATTTGGGCGGTGCAGGTGGTGAATTGGCTATCGTGCTCGAGAATACTTCGCTTCATGAGTCAATGCGTATGCGGTGCATGCGATTAGACCAGATCGAAGCCGGTTTTATAGCGCTGTAGCCCATCGTGATGAAGATGCCGCAAAGAAGATGAATAGTCCACTTATTATCATTATACCGAGTTCTCGTGAGCGATCAGTCCTTACGCTGAATGATGACAGACCATCGGGTATCAATATTTTGGTCGTCTGGTATGACGCGTCGACGAACCCGATCTTCCGCACCTCGGGCGAGGTCCCCGACGGGGATAAATGCGACACGTATTGTATGCGTAAAAGATTAATTGAACAATGTCGATACCGACACAGTATTACCGTTTAACACTGTTAAGAATGCCGTAACACGGATGTAGACAACACGACAGGCACGTCGTAAAACACGGTGCTCTTCGACACTCTTCGTTGTTCGATAAGTTAATTTCAGGCGCGATCACCGGGCAAATCGCAAGCTCGATTTTCGCGTCACCGTATCGTTCGAGGAAAGATTAAGAGCGGTTACCGTCCATCAGGCACCCGAAACAGTTCAACAGTCACCTGTTTACACCGGAAGGAATTACGAGAATAAACCGCCAGTCGTCGACAGCAGCGGTTACGCGTCAGCCGTCAGTCTTCCGTCGGTTGCCGAGTCAGCGTTAATTACCGTCCAGCCCCTCTGAATAAAGATTACTCCTCAGCATCACCGGCTGGGGAATGTTTCACCGAATTTCCATGTACGCAGATTATCGGTTGTTCGCAGGCGACAAAGCGTAAGCCTGAATGGTTAATGAACGAATGAGCATAATTATCAGCATTTCCAAGTTACAACTCGTTGTCGATCGTTTGAGGGTTATCACCGTAATGGCTCTTCACATTTTTCCATGTGTAGAAATCGAACCCGTCTCTTATACGACGCCAACACTGTAGATCACTGGCTCCAAACGATTGGCAGTCAAGGCAGTTTGCCTGATGGTCAAACATAGACGGCTACCAATACGACGTACAACAAACATTGAAACAATATCATCACAACAGTCGTTTACGGCGCATGATTATCACGTCATCAACAGCAACAGCCCGAAAACAAAGCCGAGTGACCGCGTAAGCCGTTCGGTAAGTCAAAGTTTCAGCAGAAAGATGCTGTGCGCATAAACCACAAAAGTAGCGAGCGTTTGGCGAACATTGGTCGTCAAACATCACCGCGGTCACCAAATGCAACGTACGACGCCACAAAGCCGTCGTTTCGCGCCAGCCGCAGGCAATCACACCATTCCCAAACAGCGCACTCGATCGGCGCCGGCCGGATGTTACCGCGTCGATGAAACACGCAGCGCCGATAGCCGCAGTCTGGCCCAGACCCCAGCCGCAGTACATGCAGAGTTACCGCCTGGAGACGCAGAGACGACGTGACGACCCGGGTTCGGTCGGTATTACTCTGGCAGGCACTAAAACCAATAAAAGTTGTGACGTTAACACAGCGCAGCGAAAGCGAGCGAGTGGCGCGTGCGGGCGGCGACATTCACATCGTGCCGTCATCGCCGCGTCAGCGATGAACCGCACAGAAACCGAAACATCATGCAGCCTGGTGATTCATAATAAATGAACCTCGCATTCAATAGTGTTTTCGCGCGATGACTTCGACGATATGCCCAAAAGAGCGAAGCCGTTCCTGCGCCCCGCCACGTCGACCTGTCAGACTACGTCGTTAATAACGAGTCAGTATGCAACAGTAAGCAGGGTCCCAGCATGTCGCATCGCGCAGCCTGCTGATGTCCTTCACGCCCCAAATATTTAACGTATCGATAGTTCGCTTGGTTCGATGCACCATACCGATCAGCAGCTTCAGGCGCATAGTCCTCATTTTACATACCCATCACGCCCGGTCTTCGATGCCCTTGAGTTGGTATCGATCGGTTTAACCATGCCCTCTTAAGCATATCGATCACGGCCCGAAGCTTCATTCTCCAATGATCAATGTTCTTTCGGTCATTGCTGCGTTCCCCTGATGATCATCGTGCCGGTTATTAAGCCCATCAATACGTCAGCGCTAATGAATAACCATCGAAACTTCCAGTTATCGTATAACAAGGTAACAGTTCCGATGCCCCCGAAGATACGATAATGTACCAGGTTATCACGGTACATGTGTTGTGTTCCGCTAATGTTCTTCGTTTCAGTTATCAATCGCAGTCGGCAATAGTCTACGTTCTTACATAACATAGCCAGGCCTTGCAGACAACTTCGTTTCAAGAATGATCAATTACTTTCCATGTCGAAGAATAAACTCATTCTGGGGTTATCGATCGGTCGCAACGCAGAAGTTCATTTCAAGAGCGTCGAGCAATGTTCGCGTTGTAGTTCCACTTCAGTTATCGATGTTGGTAAACAGGTTCCCTGTTCTTACATCGATCAAAATTCGTTAAACCATCGTTACGTCGATCAAAATCACTTCGTCATAAAGAACATGTTGCGTGTTCGGTAAGCACAAATGCCATCGATCGGCGTACTTGCGCTTAGTCAGTCCTTCATGCCCCCGTTAATGTCGACGTAAACTTCCAAAGCGTCGATCATCACCCGCGCGGTTCAGTCTCCACGTTTCCACGAAAGGTCGTTCCACAGGCAATAACTCATTGAATACGTTGCGTCTCCAGGCATAGTTCCTTCATTTCAGTTACGTAATCGACGTAAAATTCAGGTTAATTACGTTCTCCAGTTATCGATCAATCGTACCAGTTTACCAGCACGATCGGTCGTTTCAGGCAATAGTTCACGCCTTCGCTAATGTCGTTAAAACACTTCGTTTCAAAGATGTCGATCGGTCGTACCAGTAAGAATAATTTCCGATCACAACAGGCGAATAAATTACGCCCCTGCATCGATTCATGTAAACTATATAATAATTCATTTCAAGAAGAGCACGAAAGGTCACCAGTAACATGCCCAAGATGTCGATGTTGTGCAAGCTCTGTTAACAAGTTCCGCTTCAGCATCGACCGCTATCTTCCAAAGACGATTTCAGGCTAGTTCAGAGTTCCCGTTCTCCCAAAGACGATCGGTCGCAGCCTGCGTTGTCGAAGTTCTCCGATGCTCAGTTATTTAGGTTAATGCGTTCGGTATTAAACAGGTTCATGTCGAGTTCGCGCGTTGAAGCTTCCGCGAAATATCGATGCCAGTGTTCAAGAATTTTCGTTTTCAGCATCGATCGGTCGTACCAGTGTTGTCCTTCCACGATCACATGAATAACCACTTCCAAAGAAAATGATATTCTTAACGCGAATATCTTCGTTCGTTATCGCTCCTCTGCTATTAACATGTTAGTAAAGCTCGTTATCAATGACGCCATATTCTCTGGAATGCAGGCGAATAGTTCTACGCCCTTAAAGACAAATGATATCGGTATCAGAACTTACGTTTCAGTTGTCGTCGAACATGCAGCCCTTAGTCGTCTTCGCATGCAAGTTCATATTTGAACGACGATAAATTAACAATCGATTACGTAATTCGACGATGTCACCGACATCATTTCACCGTTGCCGATCCAGTTAATACCGTTTTATTGTTGCCAACACATATTTCAATCATCGATCATTCTCAATTCATGTTCATTATTCAAAGATAAAGATCGCATACATTTTCTGGTATGGAGTGATGTTCAGCCGGCATCATTATCGACGTCGTTACCCCGACCGGTCGAAGCGGCGGTTATCAGTTCCTTCCTCCGAGGTAACGTAACCTTTATCGGTTCATTTATAAGTTCATATCATTAGGGCAAAATAACACTTAACAGACGTGACGTCATTAATCAATGCCATATCGCCCGATTTCTTTCTAAGACGCCGCGTTCGTTATGAAGACGGCAAAGCCACCATGCCTAAGTAGGTTTCAGGTTTACTGGTTTCGGAGCGATTCCAAATGAATGCGCAATAGCTGAATTTATCATACTTCGCCCAATATCGGATACCGATTACAACAGCAATCGCAAACATAGTGATGACATGGGCAATTTGTTAACATCCTCCATTTACTGAAGTTCACTGGGTAAACACGACAGCAGTTATCATGACGTTCACGCCAGGGGTAGGGATGATCGCCCTTCCGTCGCGCTAATTCGAGCTCCCGTCGACCATCGGCATTACACCTGGTGCGCTGAAGCTTCAGCCACGACGTCTCGAAATGAACTCATTGCGCGCAGAAGCGTACGGCAACGAGCACTAACCGGGAAGATGAGGAATTCAGGGAACACATGCAGCCGATGTCACACCGGACGGACAACCGTACGATGTCTCGAAAGCCGAATGACTACGGAGCCTAGATATCAAACAATTCAACGGAAGTTTGATCGGTTTCGTTCAGCAATGTTCGCGTTGACAAGACTCGCCGTCGCCGTTCAAAGCCGCGCTCGCCAGTCATCTGCATATCCGGGACGTAAACAGAGCGCAGCTAATAAACATGTGACAGGATAGATTTGTGTTGGCGTAGGTTCACCAGACCACGCCCGCATGTAATCCCATCAGAAACATCTCAGACAGTTGTATTGGTCATACACGAAATTAATTGACAGTTTGTTTCGAATAGCGGTGAGTCGTTCGGCAGGCCTTCAAACAGAGGTCACAGCTCTGACGATTTCTTCCCGAAAGAAGAAGTTACGTTCTGCTTCGCTCAGCGTCTGGTTGGCTTTCGTCAGCGTATTATCAAAACGTTATACCACAACCTTCAGATACATCCGATATGAAGAAGCCAAAGATTTGCCAGTCATCAATGTTTTCGTCGAATATCAGTACGACAATTTAGGCCGACGATTCCAAACATGTTGGTTCGCCAACATGGGTCGGACTAATCGTCACGCGAATGAGCCAGCTACATAACACGCCCGGCGCAGTGCTAATGATTCGCTGAAAAACTGGCTGGGGAAACAACGACATTTTTACGGGCCTGGCACCACATTCGGGAATTATCACGAACGTCGAACTAATACCAGTCAGGATCAGCTAATTTCCAAAATTCGAAGTTTCAGCGCCTAATACGTTAAAATAAATGAGCAAGACGTTTGCCCCGGGCGCGCGAGTTTGGTTATACCGCTGTCCTTATTCATTTCGTCATTAGAATGTCTGATGCGATTTCAGTACAAACTGCCACCATATGGTATTCTCGTCCGCGTCGTTAATAGTGAACATACAACGTCGTCAGTACGGGTCGTTGCCGTTATTTCGGTATATCGTCACCAGCCGGTTAAAGTTTCCGTCATTGAATCAAGACATTCGGCGTCAACCATAGACATCATTTGAGCAGAAATATCTCCCACGAGATACTTCATCTGGGTTGGTAACGGTCTCAGTAAATTGTGTTGCAAGAGTGCCCAGAATGGTTCGTCTTCGAAGCTGAGGGCGTTTGTTATAAGTACCTTCGTCGACAGGGTCAGAAGAGGACGATTCAATCGTCCGATTCAATATGGTCTGGCCATACTAACTTGTTCACACTAACGAAACACCTGATAATGGTCTGCTCACCGGCGAAAACATCCTGCAACGTGCACCAGCCGATTTCCAGTGCATGCCAGTTAGGTTGGTGCCGATGGAGAGCTGTCCATTTGCCGCCTAATATTCAACATGCCCGTCACAGATAATGCGCAGTTGCGGAAGAACATGTAACAATGCAATACGGTGATCACCGCAGCCAGATAATTTGAAAACTTCGCGTAGCGTAAATGCCCTTCGGCGTTTGTTCACAAACGAAAAGTCCGGTCGCGACAGCAACAGTCTGCGGCGGCGATGCCATGCCGTCATCACGCGGAAGCGTAATGATCTGTGTAAGAGGGCGTCGAATTTGACGATGTCATGCCGTTGATGTTCAGTCCGTTCGACAGGACAATGCCAAACAAAGCCGGACTAATAGCCGAGCGCGGCGTTAAACTGAACAACAACAGTTCCATCACGCTGGTCATCAACATGATTACCAGTCAGTCGCCATGCCATTTGAAATGCCAGGATACCGAATATGCTCATAAATGGCTTTTCAGACAGCGACAATGCTTGCGAAACGACAGCACGCAGCAGCTCTTCATAGTACACCGAATTAAAAGGTTCAACCGCGACAGTTCATCGAATAAAAACAATAAAGTTTCGTCGGAACTCGCATAGCGGTTCGCCGTTACCAAGAAACCACTTCCTGGATGAAAACGCATGGTCACAGTAAAGACGTTTGAACAGGCGCGGTCGCACATTATCCGCGATAACGCCAGTTGCCGTAGATTAACGAATATACGCACGTTAATAGCCGTGATTAATAACAGATTGAAATCCGTCGATGGAGATGCTCGGTTGTCGTAGATTACCCCAAATGCCGTAACCGCGGCAAATGCCCATAAAACGACGACACAGTGGGTTCACGCCGTTCGGCAAACTGCGTTTAATTCTCATGTTTTCCCGCAAGAACAAGCTTCAGAGTATGATCGAATCGTCATTTAGCAGTCTCGAGTCACCGCCAATGCCGATGTACGTGCTCAATTGTTTGCGCGACGATTCAGCAGTCGCCCGTCCGTCCATGGGTACCAGACCAACAGTTATTCGGCAGGCTGAACGACGATGGCGTCAGCCATTTATCAACAAAAGATAAAGGCGTAAGATAACCCCGTCAGCGCCGCGCTGGTACCGTTTCGAGCGACTTCGTTTTATTTAATAAATTACCAGCCTTAAGATTACAGCGTAATCGCATGCGTTCAGAAATCGCATCGAGATAAATTAATTCTGCCGTTTTCACCGTTATTGACGAATGATTACGCCAGTTCAGGTCATTGTTGTATGCCGAACTTTGCCATCTGGTCAGGTACTTGGTTCTTTACCATGAATAGTATTTCGCCGTTAAGCCATTCCGTTAATAATAAAGTATTAGTCGAAATGACGTCTTTAGTTTGCCGTCACCGTTCCCGTTTCTGGAGTCGAAGTTAACTATTGAAATCAAACACAGCCAATAGTATGGCGAAAGTCCGCATTGTTTAGAAAGGTTTATCGGCTGTATCGTTGGTGAATAAAGGGCTGGCATTACAAAGACAAAGTCACCGTGAATAGCACGTCCAATAATAAATGTAATAGAAAACATCTTCATGATAACAGCAAAGTTGTATCGAATATTATTCGTGAGCAGTATCGTTCGTAGTCCGTACGGTTGGAATAAATATCGATCTCAAGAGTCAGAGTATCGTTCAGTCTGACTCGATTGGTTCGGGATCAATACGCCCACAATACGTGATATTCAACTTTTTTTAGTGCGTTTTAAACAATATTCCAGTCGAGCCTGAAGGCAGAACGAAGCAAACGCCATCCAAGCGCCGACCGTTCGCGGTAGTCAGTCTGATGTTTGCTGATGATAAAGGAAAACAGCGCAGAGAGCAAAGTGAATGGGTCAACGACGCTGAGTACGACTCCGTGAAGTTGCCACTCATGTGATCAAAAGAACATGACAAGATTTTCTTTAATCGCAGCTTACGAACGCAACACAGTTATCACCATAAATTAAAGATGACGTTCAGGCTCAGTTTCACAGACACAAAGATTGCATGAACAATACTGAATGGTTTATACCAGCATGCTGGCCAGTTTGCTTACTATCCTTTACCGCCATTGTCAGCCTCGATTATCTCCGTTATCACTACACTGTTAGTTGCCAGTTAATTGCCGATTAATGAATGCCAACCATCTATATTTCTTTCTTTAAAAGAATACGATCATGGCGATTATCACCGAGATGACAAACGGTGACGCCGCCCGAACATTGACAATCACCGATGCTGCACTATCATTGTCAATAGACCTTAACCAGATAATGCATTATTACTGTCATCAACCGAACAAAGCTGTGTTAATGCTATATATCCTGTTTCGTCACAAATTTACAGCAAATTCTGGATACGATATCGTGTCGAATGACAGGCTTATTTTTGATCTCGGGCCTTGGTTGATTGTTATATTAGTTATCGGTTATTGTTTAACCGAAAGTTATTGTATTAAAATAATGACAAATAACATAACTGCCAGAATTATGAAAGTAGACTAATATGCTCATTTCTTTCAGTCAGTCATCCGAATCAACAGGTTATTCTGGTGATGCTGGTCGCCATACTACGTCACAAAATTATTGAGACGACGTCATTGCTATGCGCATAGCTCATGTAAAACCGGGATATGATCGTGTCCTGAAAGTCGTTGCCGAGCAGATATCATAGCCAACTTCCGGATCGTGGTGAATTAAGTCAGAAGCTCATCGTTAGCTTTATCGGTTGTGATGTCTCTTATTAAATGAGTCAAGTCATTGCATTTAGGTAGCCAGATTGAATCATGTTTTGCGTTGAGTATTTATTATTGGTTAGCAGCGGTTTCATCCCAGCCGGACCAGCCAGGATGAGCCTCTTTCGCGTAATAAGTCTCAACGCTAGGCAGCTGGTGAACTTGAGGTTCGAATCTGAAGCATACGCACAAATTTTGTAAGACACAATAGGACACTCTCATCAAAGCCGATGGAAGAAGCAACGGTGAACTGCCGGACTGAATGTCATCGTACCCACTACCTACACATTCCGGAACGGCACCTCGCCATTGACCATCGTATGCGCAGAGACTCTGACACGTGACTTTCCAGGTTTATACGTCATATCCGGTTTTGCACGTAGAACATGCGCTCTTGAAGTTAGTGCCATCGGTGCTACATAAACGTGGCGTCAGGTGCAATGGATTGTGGTGGACACGTGACAGCTGAAATATGGACGATATGCGTGCACAAGGGTAGCAAAATATTTGGTTACACTTCGGGCTGACTGACTGAAGAGAAATGAAATATTAGTCCCTTGCGCTGCTCATGAATTCTGGTTTTAATAAAGAGCAGTTTTAGTATTTATTTGTCATTGTTTTGTATACAATAACTCCAGCTATAAAATAATAACTGATATTTTAATATGTGTACTCATATCCAATCCAACCAAATTTGAGATCAAAATAAAACACAGTCATTCATTTTTGATATCTTATTATCAAATTTGTACTGTAAGTGGAATCAGATAATGTGTGAATTGTTTCACATATTGAAACTAGATACTAATATTAACTACAGCTTGTTCAGGTTGACCTGATCAAGTGAATACTTAATGCATTGCGTGACCTTATCTGGTTAGGTCTATTATTGTGAATGCGTGCAGCTTTGTCAGTTGATTGTCAACATGTTCGAACAGCCGAGACAAGGTCGCCAGTTTGTCATCTCAGTGTCGAGAAATCGCCATGATCAGCAATGTCTTTTTAAAAGAAAGAAGCTATAGATGGTTTAATGTTTCCGATTCGCTTTAAGTCAGCGAGCAACAGTAGCAACTGGGTGTAGAGAGAGTGATAGCGAGAGTGAATCGGCCAGGAAAAGTAACTTCATGTCTGTACATTGTAAAGTTAGTAAACCAAACTAGATAGCATATGACAGCATAAACCATTCAATTAAACATGAAGCTGCATGACACAATCTGTGTCACAATGAAACTGGGAATGTATTTTCTGCCTCTTTACCACGAACGTCCATCTTGGGAAGACATGGGCATATCTTAGTGCTGAAGTATTTTTACGTTCGTAGAAAAAATACGATTAAGAAATCTTGAATAAATGTTCTTGATCACATGAGGTATGATTGGTGTAACCCTTACTTCACAGGTCGGCTCTAACGTCGTTGACCATTTGCCACTTTGCCAGCATTCTCTCGCGCTTTGAACCCTTTATCGTGTAACCATAGTAACAGCCGTGGTTGCAGCTGGTACCGTAGACGAAGTCGGCGCTTGGATGGCAGATTATAGTAACCGTTCCTGAAGGTCTTGCTTGGCCCAGGTGAACATCTGATGGCTGCAGAATATTGTTTATAAAAAGGCACACAAAAATTGGTCAGTATCACACGAAGTATTGTAAGGTTTACATGTGAACAAGAAGTCAGACCAATCAGGTCACAGTTCTAAGACGTGGGTCTCCCTGACGCAATAAGGATCAATCTTTGATATTCTCCAACCATCCATAACATAATACGGACTTACAGACGCACAAGTATACGTACTCAGATATGTCTTCGGACAGAGTTAATTTTTATTCCGAAAGTCGGAAATCGCAAATTATAGCACAATGTTGATCTTTGTCTACTAATCTAACTTTAATATTTATCACTGAAGATGAATGTTTCTGGCCAGCTTGTGTAGGACGTACTTGTCACAGTGACTGTCATCACACATGCGCCCATGTTCCCTGCACCGTCTCTGGCTGTGTAGCTGATGGGTGTACTTCCTTCACTAAACAAGTACCCGGACCGCTTCCTGCTCTCGCCCGTCTTACCCTGGGTAGTAGAGATAAACGTATGATTTTGGTTCAATAGGGTTAACTTCAGAGCCTCAAGTGGAAACAGGACGGTTGGTAGCCTAGAGCTCGAGACGTCGATTTCGATATGAGTACCCGCCTTGGTATTGCTGGAATATTGCTAAAAGCGGCTCAAAACTAAACTCACTGACTCATGTGGGCAAGGCAAATTTTGTTAGATGAGATGTAAAGTTCAGCACCCTTCTATGTGGTCTGAGACAGAGGACCCTGGTGTCGGGGGTAGGTGGTGGTGGTGGCCTGACTGGACTGGACATGTGGACAAGTGGATATCCATCTTCGATCAGAATGGAAAATAGCATGTAACCCAGTTGACAAAACAACCTAAGGGTTCTTTATCTCGATACATTTCTAGACACATACGTTACACTGTATCTTAAAACAGTGAGTCTTGAATTTATTAAATAAAGCAAGTCATGAAATTAGTGTGAGAGTACCAACAACGCTGAGCAGAGTTATCTTACGCAACATGTCTATCTTTGTTGTCGTAGGCTGACGCATCGTCGTCGTTCCAGTACACCTTAGTGCTTGTTTGGATTGGGTCTGAGAACTTATGGATATCCATTGGACAGGTGACCACTGGAGGAGATCGGTCTGTAAACAAGTGGAGAACATTACATCGGGCGACAACAGTTGACTCAAGTTTCTCATGTATGATTCAGTCCACATATAATAATACAAACTGATTTATTTCTTACAGGAAAACACTTATTATGGGGTATAATTCTCCACGACCTGGTTTGCCGAACAACGTGAACCAATTGCCTGATGATTTGCTATTATCTCCATCGTTTTATAGACATTTACCGCAGTTTACGGCATTTTAAGGGTAATCTACGACAACCAGCGTCGATCAGGGGCAATCTCCGTCGATTTATAAAAATAAAGTTTCAGGCAATCTGTTAGTAATCCACGGAATGTGCGGCGATATTCGGATATCTACGGTAACTGGCGTTATCACGGATAATGTGTGTGCACTGTTCTGCGCCAGTGGCGATCGCCATAGATTAACTACTGTGATATACGTCATTTTCGGCCACTTATCCATCATAGGAAGTGAGTTAAAGTTTTCGACTGCTAATTGTAGCAGGTGCCTCTATTACAGGTTCCGACAAACCGAGAGCTTGTGTTTTTTAATTCAGTGAACTGTCTGAGTTAGACAAATTTTATTAATTCAGTGTACACTGTATCCGAACATGAGGAAGAGCTACTCTATTACGTCACCTTCGTTTCATAAACGTGTCCTCTTGTATCCTGAAAATATCATTGCGAACGCCTAGCGATATTGGTGTCATAATATGGAGTAACTCACAAGCATTTCAAAATGGCGAGATGTATTTGGAAAATGGCGCAATGTTGCGGCATAATGGCGTGATAAGGACTGGTTGATTGTTTCGTAGTTTAACGCCGCACTCAGCAGTAGTCCAGCTATTTGGCGGCGGTCCGTAAATATTGAGCCTGGACTAGGCAATCCAGTGATCAACAGCATGAGCATCGATATACGCAGTTGGGACACGCCAAGACCACACGATCCTGTTCGACGCCTCTTACGACAAGATCAATTCCACATTCCGGCGCAGTGATGACTTAGCATAACATCACCGCCACAGGCTAATTTGCATATCACGACCGGATTTTTCTCTTGTTTGTGAACAAACGCGCATATTCATTTAAGAAGAGACTGGCCTTTACGCAAGTTTTTCGGCGCGCTCACAGTGATCTACATGTACATTGTTACATATATATTCTTCCACAACCGCGACAGTAAGGTCTATGACAGAACATATTTAGATATTAAACTGGCTGCATCGTTAGCTCTCCATCAGCTTCGATGACAGCACGTGGAGCCGTACAACCTATGTAAACAAAGGATCGCTACGCAAATCGAAATAGTGTTACACGTTTTAGGATATTTTCTCAGTGAAACCAAACCATTCTATCAAAGATGTTTCATTAGATGTGTAGACTCGTCAAAATACAAGAGTTAAGAAATATGTAGATTATATTGAATGGATTTGTGTAAGATGACGAATCGTCACATCTTTCTGGCCTGTGGCAGAGGTACTATGCTCGCTTGCCGCAAAGGAACTCTGGAAGGAGACTGGAACCATTCTTAGACCTCTTACGATAAGCCTGTGTTACTGAAGACCATTTTAACCCGTGTCGCGCTATAAGGAAGCAAGAGTGCCTCGGTAGTAGCCCTAAATGAGGAGATCTTCTATAAATGACGCCTTAATCTATAGTTAACCTCCAAGATGTCACAATTCTGACATCTAATGTTGGCAAACCTTCTCAGTAACACGGGAAGATACTTTAGTATTTGACACTAAATGTACACAAATGTAACGCTTATTGTACAATGACGTTGTATGATTTCACTATTAACACGATACGGACAGATACCATATGAATTGTAGTTTGTACAAAATCACGGCGCAATTAAAGAGGCATTGTTCTAATGGCAAAAATGAATAAGGACAAAAATACAATTTCACGTTGAGCAATGTAAACTCACGCGCGAAACAAACGTCACCTCGCTATTTTAACATGTCACAAAACAACAAACTCAGATTTTGGAAAATTAACAATCCTATTTGGAAAATTAATGGATTCACGACATTCTGAATGATGAAAGTGTGAACTACAGATGTGAATAATCACTTAGAGTACGATAAAAGAAAAAAAAATATCATTTTGGTGACGTTTCTTTCCCCCATGAGTTTTTCTTAAAGGTCAATGCTACCGCCAGGCGGTGTTATGTAACAATACATTCACGTGACGGTTAGTCCATTGTGTCGTTGCGGTAACGTTAACATGTTTAGGTCAGTCAGCCCTCTCGTGACGTGCAGGTACTAGTGGTAGTTCGGTGAAGGCAGTTGGTGAGCTGGCTTAAACATCTTTGAACAATATATCGGATGTATCTGAGGTTGTGAGCTTGGCGTATAACGTTTTGATAGCTCACACTTTGGTGAAGCCAATAGACACAAACATTTTGCTGACAAGCCAAGAGGTATGGCTTCTTCTTCCGGGAGAAATCACATCTAAGAGCTATGACCTGGTTGGTCTGGCCTCTGGTACAACGACTTGAAAACTCTGTGACGGCTCCACCACTGAGCTCCGAAGGCCGAACAAACTGTGTGAAAGTTTCATTAATATGATAGCCACAACTGTCACAAAGGATGTTTCTGATGGGACCGCATGCATATCTCAGGCGTAAGTCCTAGTCCTGGCGTAAGGGTGAACTGCACCCAGCACAAATCTACGCCCTAATGCATATCCATGACGTAAGAAAAGCTGCGCCTTATTTTACGTCCCGGATGTACGCCACCTACCCAGATGGCGTTAGGCAGGCGCAGCTGAGCAATGGCGGCTGTAGTGTATCAACACCGCAGACGGTACTTGAACAGAAACCAGATATTAAGAGACAGAACAAACCCGTTGGAATTGTTTGAGTATCTAGAGCTCCATAGTCGATTCAGCTTTCGGACATCGACATATTCAGGATTGTCCATCCAGTCAAACATGACATCAGCCATGGTGTTTCCCACAGATCCACTCTATCTCCCGAGTTGCAAGTGCTCGTTGCCGTACGCTTCTGCGCAATAGGTTCATTTCAGGACGTCGGTAAAACGAAAACTTCAAGCTACACCAAGTGCTCATAATACCTACCCCGTGGTCCGGTAGAATGGTGCCACGGCAGGGCAGTGTCCCTACTTACCTAACGATGAACGTCATGATAACTATATATGTGTTTACCCAGAGTGAACTGAATAAATAGAGGATATTATATGAGTACCATAAACATATTATGTTTATGATTACGAGTGCCTAAATGATGGTATATCCCGAGCGAGAGCGAGGAATATACCGATATTTAGGCACAAGTGTCGTAAACATAGTGTGATATGTGCACGAATATAATATTCTATTTATTACCGAAGTCGTCAAATTGAGGAAAATAAACCTAAACCTACTTTAAAATATAAGCTGGCTACCCGCCGTCGCCGCATGTAGAACGCAAAGTCATAGAAGAAATGTGACGTCATAGCATTGTTCATGACGTCACGTCACCATGACAAAGTGATATTTTGCCCTAGAGCATCGTATGAAAATATGAACCCCGATATTTTCGTCCTCGTAGGTAATAAAGAGTTACATTACCTGGAGGAGGGCCTGGTCTTGATCCCCACCACCCTATTATTAATATTGGTATCCAGAGCCAACGTTTTTGACGTCGTCTTGGTACCAGCTGGACATCCTCCATACCTAGAAGAATATATGCAATCTTTATGCTAGACCATGAACATATGATTAAGGAAGTGGTCGAATGAGTTAAAATATAATGTTGGCAATAATAAAAGCAGTATGCTAATTAGGTGGATCCAGCAAGCATTTATAAATGAATATGATATCCCGAAAACAAAACCTCATCAATTACATAAATCAGTCTGTACTGTGCATTTATCGGTGTGTTCAAATATGAGAACACGTAGTTTGAGGGCAGCCTAGAACACATAGCTCGGTATGCTAGAGAGCATGGGGGACCTATTCGCCTGGAACAAATTGATCGGTATGCTAGAGGGCATGGGGGACCTATTCGCCTGGAACACATTGATCGGTATGCTAGAGAGGAAGGGGGACCTATTCGCCTGGAACACATTGATCGGTATGCTAGAGAGCAAGGGGAACCTATTCGCCTGGAACACACAACATGGTATGCTAGAGAGCATGGAGGGCCTATTGCCTGGAACACATTGATCGGTATGCTGGAGAGCAAGGGGAACCTATTCGCCTGGAACAAATTGATCGGTATGCTAGAGGGCATGGGGGACCTATTCGCCTGGAACACATTGATCGGTATGCTAGAGAGGAAGGGGGACCTATTCGCCTGGAACACATTGATCGGTATGCTAGAGAGCAAGGGGAACCTATTCGCCTGGAACACACAACATGGTATGCTAGAGAGCATGGAGGGCCTATTGCCTGGAACACATTGATCGGTATGCTGGAGAGCAAGGGGAACCTATTCGCCTGGAACACATTGCTCGGTATGCTTGAGAGCATGGAGGGCCTATTGCCTGGAACACATTGATCGGTATGCTGGAGAGCAAGGGGAACCTATTCGCCTGGAACACATTGATCGGTATGCTAGAGGGCATGGGGGACCTATTCGCCTGGAACACATTGATCGGTATGCTAGAGAGCAAGGGGAACCTATTCGCCTGGAACACACAACATGGTATGCTAGAGAGCATGGGGGACCTATTGCCTGGAACACATTGCTCGGTATGCTAGAGAGCATGGAGGGCCTATTGCCTGGAACACATTGATCGGTATGCTAGAGGGCATGGGGGACCTATTCGCCTGGAACACATTGATCGGTATGCTAGAGGGCATGGGGGACCTATTCGCCTGGAACACATTGATCGGTATGCTAGAGAGCAAGGGGAACCTATTCGCCTGGAACACACAACATGGTATGCTAGAGAGCATGGAGGGCCTATTGCCTGGAACACATTGATCGGTATGCTGGAGGGCAAGGGGAACCTATTCGCCTGGAACACATTGATCGGTATGCTAGAGGGCATGGGGGACCTATTCGCCTGAAACACATTGATCGGTATGCTAGAGAGCAATGGGGAACCCATTCGCCTGGAACACACAACATGGTATGCTAGAGAGCATGGGGGACCTATTGCCTGGAACACATTGCTCGGTATGCTAGAGAGCATGGAGGGCCTATTGCCTGGAACACATTGATCGGTATGCTAGAGGGCATGGGGGACCTATTCGCCTGGAACACATTGATCGGTATGCTAGAGGGCATGGGGGACCTATTCGCCTGGAACACATTGATCGGTATGCTAGAGAGCAAGGGGAACCTATTCGCCTGGAACACACAACATGGTATGCTAGAGAGCATGGAGGGCCTATTGCCTGGAACACGTTGATCGGTATGCTGGAGAGCAAGGGGAACCTATTCGCCTGGAACACATTGATCGGTATGCTAGAGGGCATGGGGGACCTATTCGCCTGGAACACATTGATCGGTATGCTAGAGAGCAAGGGGAACCTATTCGCCTGGAACACACAACATGGTATGCTAGAGAGCATGGGGGACCTATTGCCTGGAACACATTGCTCGGTATGCTAGAGAGCATGGAGGGCCTATTGCCTGGAACACATTGATCGGTATGCTAGAGGGCATGGGGGACCTATTCGCCTGGAACACATTGATCGGTATGCTAGAGGGCATGGGGGACCTATTTGCCTGGAACACATTGATCGGTATGCTAGAGAGCAAGGGGAACCTATTCGCCTGGAACACACAACATGGTATGCTAGAGAGCATGGAGGGCCTATTGCCTGGAACACGTTGATCGGTATGCTGGAGAGCAAGGGGAACCTATTCGCCTGGAACACACAACACGATATGCTGGCGGGTGTGGGGACCTATTCGCCTGGAACACATTGCTCGGTATGCTCAAGGGCATGGGGACCTATTCGCCTTGAACACATTGCTCGGTATGCTGGAGGGCTCGGTGGACGTATTCGCCTTGAACATATTGATCGGTATGCTCGAGGGTATGGGGTACCCAATAGCCAGGAACACATTGATCGGTATGCTAGAGGGCACGGGGACCCAATAGCCAGGAACACATTGATCGGTATGCTAGAGGGCATAGGGGACCCAATAGCCAGGAACACATTGATCGGTATGCTAGAGGGCATGGGGGACCCAATAGCCAGGAACACATTGATCGGTCTGCTCAAGGGCATGGGGGACCCAATAGCCAGGAACACATTGATCGGTATGCTAGAGGGCATGGGGGACCTATGCGCCTGGAACACGCTGATCGGTATGCTAGAGGGCATGGAGGACCTATTCGCCTGGAACACGCTGATCGGTATGCTAGAGGGCATGGGGGACCTATGCGCCTGGAACACGCTGATCGGTATGCTAGAGGGCATGGAGGACCTATTCGCCTGGAACACGCTGATCGGTATGCTAGAGGGCATGGGGGACCTATTGGCCTGGAACACATTGATCGGTATGCTCAAGGGCACAGGGGAGCAACCATCACTTTGCGGAGCCGCGTCCGAAATTCATGCCTGAAACCTGTGAATGCAGGTTCGAATCCCTCTTGGTCCTGTTTCTGTTATAGGTCTGGAAGCACCGTATCCTTGCATGATGGTTTCATTAAACTGGTACAGTTGAGGACTTTCACCTGTGCGAGATCTGAACTTCCCACATCACACTGACACGACGTGAAGTAACTGATGTAAGTCTCACTCACCCACACACTTACTCACTCACTCACTCATAATGTGCTGTCTAACTGGTGGTTTAGATACTTGCAAAATTATGCTCACCATTGCAAAGATTGGGTGTCATATGCCATGTCCCGTCGTCACAGATCAGGAACCGTAACTCTGCATCCTCAAGGCAGGTAACTCTGCATGTACTGCGGCTGGGGAGTCTGGATTGAAGATTTGCAGCTATCCGGTTGCCGTCTTCATCAGTACAGTATCCGACAGAAATTGGTAGACGGCCAGCAGTCAGACTGCAGGTACGCTGGAACAGAATGGGTATAATTTGATACCGCTGCGAACAATGTTACAGTTTTAACAGAAGACGACGGACTTGTGTGAAAGGAAAGCCCAAACAGATCCGATGCAGACGGTTGCAATTTGAGTGACCACGGGTGGTGACGTAACAACCAAATGTTCATAAGAAGCATATCACTGCACATTGGGACTACTCCCTTTAACATGTTTCGCAAGAACTGACCACGAACAGCCTACACGAGGCTACTCAACTGACTGGGTGACACTGTTGATGGCATGTCATCATACACCATGGCGAGGGAATGACATGATGACATGTTATGATTTCAATGTTTGTAGCTGCAGTCATAATTAAATTGCCAGCCTATGTTGGTGTATGTCGGTAAACTACCTTATTTCTACTAATCATTTAGGTGGGGTAGTCTAGTGGTTAAAGCGTCAGCTCGTCACGCCGAAGACCCGGGTTCGGTTCCCACATGAGTAAAATGTGTGAAACCCATTCTGGTGTCTCCCCGCCGTGATATTGACGGAATATTGCTAAATGCGGCGTAAAACCATACTCATTCATTCCATTAACCATTCAAACACGCTGTCACCTGAGTATTGTGTAACAATGCGTGGAACAGGCTCAAAACATCACATTACACATAGAGTGAAAACTCGTTAAACCAACATTCCCATGAGTGCAGATATAGGGAATGTCCTGATTCAGAGGGTTTCGTTGTGGAAAGTAACTTACCTGACAGCTGTATTCGGATACGACAGACAAGCAGATGGCAATACCAAGCCAATACTTGGCCGCCATGTTGCCACTGTCGAGCAACAGCGTCGTCTTTAAGTTGACTAGCGGGTTTTGTCTCATGGGTATTCCGAGTGTAAAATAGGCGTGGCTGGTGAAGCCTGACTGACAGGGTACTCTGTGTTGAGTGACAGCCGCTTCGCAATCTTTCCTCCTCAAGACATTGAGTTACGAGGAAATTTGACGACGAAATGAACACACGGTTTGGAACTTTGCCCAGTGATTCACGCAGATAAATTAACTTATCGAACAAGCGAAGGAGTGTCAAGGAAACACCCGTGACACGACAGTGCATGTTGTGAAATCACGTGTTTGTCTACATCCAGAATTCATGTTACAGCGTCTTATGTAAGTGTTAAAGGCACGAGACAGTGAAAGTAATACGCAATGTGAATGAGTGATCGACTGATTGTTTGTGCGACCGAGTTAATCTTTTACACATACAATACGTATCGCATTTATCCCCCAAATCAGGGGACCGCCTACGTGGTGTAGTGGTTAGAGCGTCCGCCCGGAGTGCGGAAGGTCGCGGGTTCGATCCCCGACTGCGTCATACCAAAAGACGTTAAAATATGGCACTTATTGGTCCCTGCCTGGCGCTCGGCATTAATGGGTACATCAAGGACTGGTCGGCTCGAAGTCAGTATAATGTGTCTGAGTGGGGTATTCATGCTTCACTGCGGCATGGTATCACAGTGGGCTAGCACTATAAAACCAGCTTCAGTCTGGGCTAGTACAAGCAGCCGCACTTACACATACACACGCATGCACGTTGTCATATGAGCGAAATATTCTCAAGCACGATGTTAAACCCAATTCCACCACCACCACCACCCAAATCAGGGAATTGAACCCGGGCATTCTAAATGACGAGCACACGCTATTGCAACTAGGCTTACATACATTCACTAGATATAAATGGCAGTGAGTCTGGTTTTAAATTATTACTTAAAATATTGCAGAAATATCATGGCAGGGGTGGTTTGGAGGTGAGCAGAATAGAGCTTAAAATATTATACCCTAGTGGGAATCGAACCCGGGTCTGTGACAGGAGGATCAAAGGTATAGATGATGAGACAAGAGACTAAATAATCCAACTCAGTCCTTGGTATGTTTTCATGTTTGTATCTGAATGGACTGAGAAAAAAACAAATAATTAGGGCTCCTTGCCATTAGGCAGGAGACCTATTGTAATCGTTCGTGTTTTTATTATTATTATGTTTTACAGATTAAAAATTGTATGCAGCAGAGAGGGTTCGGGTGATCCTGGCACAGTCAGGCTGGTAAGGCTCATCATCAGCTCAGGGCCCTTGCCCCCTCTACACACAGCCCAGACAGTGAATGGGACTTCTCCCAGGAAACGCTGCCTAGTCGAACCCACCAAGAACTTTCCGGAGAATATGAAGGCTCCCCAACACTGCAGCCTTCTGCATTACCCAGAGTGTCAGAAGGGCTGTACTCCCGGTGGAGAACCCAGGCACTCTCCTGATCTGCGCCAAGAGATCAGGAGGTACCAAACCAAGGGCACCGAGAACAATGGGGAGCCTGACGACAGTGTACTTGGGATGCAAGCGAGACATTTCAAAGGCGAGGTCCGCATATTTATCATGCTTTTCCTTAATCTTGCCAATCACATTGGTGTCAAAAGGGACAGAAAATTCAATGATATAAATAAATTCATTGGCTTTATCAAAAAGGACAAGATCAGCTGGAATTCTTCTGAGGCTGTATATTGGCCTATTCCACAGAAGTTTGAAAGCATCATTTTCCATGACGCCCTGGACATGTTCAGGGTCGTACCATGGATGGACCTCGGAGTCAAAGCCACAGGCATGTCGGAGACGGTAGTAAAAGCAACGAGCCATGCCATCATGTCGTTTAAGATATGCTGTTTGTGCCAAGGAAGGGCATCCACTGACAAGGTGTTGGACAGTCTCTGTAAATTCATTGCAAAGTCGACATTTCATGTTAATATTCTCTTTAAGAATCACATTTAGGCGATTACGAGTGGGAAGTGACTGGTCCTGAGCAGCAAAAAGGAAGCCCTCAGTTTCACATTTAAGACCAGCCGACTTCATCCAGGCGAAGGAGTCGGTGGGATGGCTATTTTGTTCAACACACTGCATGTACACACGATGCAATGGCTTCTCAGAAAGCTTCTCCACAAAAGACCGACTCTGGGCAGACTTGGTAAAGGACTTCACCTGGTTTACTCCCATCGCTGTACCGTCCAGCAGTACATTGCCATCAGCAAAGTCAACCTCAAATTTCAGATTCTGTCCAACAACCTTGGCACGCTTAAAATAGCTGTGGAATTCCTTGCTTTCATCATGAGTCTTCACATGCATCACCAGAGGATCATCCGATAAATAAATATGTGCAAAAGTACACAATAAAATTCTGTCATGAAGAGCCTCCACATTAATCAAACCCCGACCTCCAGAATTGATTGGCATGTATAAACGGTTAAGAGAGGAACGAGGGTGGTGGGCTCTGTTATCAGACATGATTCTTCTGGTCAGACGGTCAAGACTCTGGATGTCTTGTTTTGTCCAATCAACTACTCCAAAGGAATAGGAGAGGACTGGCACAGCAAAAGTATTGGTGGCTTTGACCTTGTTACGAGCATTTAGCTCTGAGCTCCAGATTTTCTTTAAACGAGATTTATACTCGGCCCGAAGTTTTTCTTGAATCTGGGCATTCTGGAGCTTGTCTCGAACTTGCATTCCAAGATAGGTGTAGGCCTGATCTTCCACAAGATGCTCAATAACTCCTCCCCCTTGTAACCTGACCGATCCATCATTAGTTACCTTGCCACGTTTCAAATGAAGAGTATTACATTTGTCGAGTCCAAATGTCATGCCAATATCATTAGAAAATGACTCGACAAGGAGAACCTGCTCTTTCAAATTGGAATCTCCTTTGGCAAGGAGTTCGATGTCATCCATGTAAAGGAGATGAGTAAGAGGTGTTGGGGATCTGTGCTGAGGAGGTCCGGGATGGTAACCCTCCTCTTTATTGAGCAGAAAGCTCAAAGGATTTAGAGAAAGACAAAAAAAGCAAAGGACTAAAGGAATCCCCCTGAAATATTCCCCTTCTGATTGGAATAGATTCCGAAGTCTGCACCTGCCCTTGCGAGTACATCTCAAGTTGAGTCGACCAGCAACTCATCAAAGACTTGAGTAAATCAAGTAGTCGCTCAGGGAGGTCAATACAATGAAGAGACTTCAGAATCCATTCGTGGGGGACAGAGTCGTATGCTTTTTTGTAGTCAATCCAGCACATGGAGAGGATGCGGTGATAAGTTTTAGCCTCTTCCAAAATCATTTTCTGTACAAGAAGTTGATCCTTGCACCCCCAACATCCCTTTCTTGCTCCCTTCTGCTCTCTGTAAATGATATCATTGGAAGAGCAGTAAGATGACACGAGGTTTGTCAAACACCCTGTGAATATTTTGTATTGTGTATTCAAACATGTGATAGGGCGGAAGTTTTTGGGATCAGTCAAGTCTCCTTTCTTGGGGAGAAGTATTGTGCGACCTTTGCAGAACCATGGAGGAACATCACCTGTGTCCACGAGAGTATTGAAACAGTGTAGTAATGGTGTTTGGACACAGGGGAACAGTTTCCAATACCGGTTTCGAATGCCATCAGGCCCTGGAGCTGTATTAGATTTGGACTTTTTTATAACACTTTTCAGGCAATCTGGTGAGATGTAACAGACAAACGCCCTACTTACCTTCTCATGCATTGCATGGTCATAATCACGGACCCATGATGCCTCAAGGTTACAGTTGCCGGGTACAGACCACAACTGTTTCCAGAACCTTTCATTGGCATCCATTGGAGGCCGTTTGTCATGTTCACCGTCACCTTTTGTTTTCAGTTGCCTGTAGAAGTGTTTTTCATTGGTTCTAAAAAGTTTATTTTGTTTGATGAATTTATTTTTCTTTTCCCATTTTTTCTTTCTTTCAGTCCAAACCTTTATTTTGGCCTTAAGGGAATCGACAATTTGGAGAAGTACCTTTTCTTTTGTTGTCTTGTATTGTATTTTTAATTTTCTCCAAATTGTCTTTTGCCGTTTTGACATTGGACTCCCCTGATGATCTTAACTTCAGGCACAGTTCTATCCAGGAAATGTATTTTCTAGTTTCCGTTAGTTTTACTTGAAACCGGTTTTTCTTTGGTGTATTGTTCTTAGTATTAGATGTTTTTTCTTTGGAAACTGTGTGAATTTCCTCCAAGGTTCGAGCGGCAGCATAGACACAACAATTAACTTCATGTAATGAACAGTCCGATGAAAGTTTCATAGAAATAATATCATTTAATAAATTGATTTCATTTTTGGGAAAGATTCATTTGTTTGTTTAATTGGCCTCCGATTTTCTAAAGGTATGCCAGATATTTCATCATAAATAGAATGAAACAAAATATAGACAGGGTTTTCGGAAAGATCTGCAACTGAAGAAGAGGAAGAGTGAGGGTCTGAAATTTCGGGGCCAATTAGCTCTTTGTCGGAAGAGTTTCCATCAGCAAGAGGAAAGAGGTTGACACGGACGTCCATTAGAAGTTTCGGGTCTGCTGCCACTTGAGCATTCTGCTCATGCAAAGGTTCCTGACGGGCACCAGTTGTGGGTTGAACTGGCTCACGGGGCAAGAGATTTTTAAGCCGCCGGAATCGATCTCGAAGATTTTGCTCCGTCAGGTAAGCATACATGGGCATGGCATTGTCCCAATGCAGCTTAAGCGACTTGCCATTTATTCGTGGATTATCAGGCCATCCTGTCGCTTTCGCACACTCTAGTAGTGTGGATTTTAGATGGTTTGACCAAGATATTCTTGGTCGGGTTCTGTGCCTTCCCCTGGGGCAAGTCCAATCTCCAGTAAGGTTGGTTTGACTACCGGAGGAAGGCTGACTGGGTTGCGGAAGTGAAAGACTATACTCTTCTTGGCTGTTAGTAACCCAGTGAAAAAACAGCTTCGGGGGGTCAGCCCTAACTGGGTGATGTACGTTTGGTTCAGGGAATATAATTCCCCTATCTAGGCCCACCACGGAGAGGCGTACATCATCAGGCCCTTATTATTATTATTATTATTATTATTATTATTATTTATTCTTCCGCCGTATTTTGTACCAGAGCTACAGAGAGCACCGCTGGACAGAATGCCTTGACAAAAATCACCCAGATGCCCAC